TCATTTGGGCTTCAACTTCAAACTTACAAATGCACAATTTAGTCTGGTTCTGCTGTTAATGAAAGTTAGTATCAGAAAATCTTATCATGTGGTGAATTCGCTATCGTAATTTTCAAGTAGGTTTTCCATTTCATCCTTGTACATACACAAATACAATTGATTGAAATTGGTCACAATAATATAACTGTTTTTTCTTTAGTTGGTATGGAAAAGAGCACATATATCATAAAACAGATCGCTTAACACGTTGTGCTTCTTTTTTCTTCATGCACTATGACTCCATATGCTTTATGAAAACTTAAATTTCACATATCTTTTGTAAATTTTGTTTTGCAGATTGTGAAGCAACTGGAGAAGGAATCGATCAAATGGACCGAGGAGGAGAACGGGAGGACAATATCGATCCGAGTGGATGAAATTGATCCGAAAAGCTTGAGCTTCTCAAAAAAATGAGTGAAAGAAACAAGAGCTCAATTTGAGCAGAGCAGAAATGGAACTTAAAGAAGAGGCCATGCCATGGTAAATGCTGGTTTTGTTAGGGATGCTGTCCATTTGGGGTTTGAGATGAACTTTTCTTTTGTGGGAAATTTATGTTACAAGATTTTAGAGAGATGAAATTCAAGCAACACATCCGCTATTTACGTATAGAAAAAGAAGGGTGTTTTAATTTGAACCTAAAAAATTCTTGAGTAATTTTTTCAACGATCTAAACTGTCTAAAATTTAGTACATCTGTCATAGATTATCATTGCAAAAAAAAAAAAGACAAATCCAAAACCGTTCATGTTGAGAATAAATTTCACATTTATGGAAGAAGAGATCTTACATGGACTTACAAGGAAGTTAGGCTACTCTTTGTATTGCCAATTGGTTGTGGTGAAACCCCAACTTTTTTTATGGTATCAAAACAGGTTATCTCACGTGTGAAGCCTAATGGCCACAAGTGCTCCACGTCACCCCATTTGGGTTGCCTATGCGTAGACTTGAAATTCTTCACTTGTGAGAGGATTTGTTGAGAATTAATTCTACACTGATGGAATGAAGGATGGTACTAAATACGGAACTATAGATGTGAATCATGCGTTTCGTAAATGTGATACCAACAACATTACATTTTCAAATTAAACAAGTATAATAAATCGTTTTTGTCTTTTAACCCAGGAAGGAGGGAAAGACAATCGAACTAGTATATGAAGCATAAAGTGTCCTATCCTAATTCGATTGTCTTTCCCAAATTTTAATGTAAAAATGTTCCCAAGTTTTTTTTTTATGTAAAATGTTCTTTTTTTTTTTTTAACGTAAAATTTATTCACCTGTTTTTATCTATAATGTACTCATATTTAAAAATAAAAATAAAACATTTTGTTTAATATATATATATATATATATATATCAAATTTCAATATTAAATTTAATACTGAAATTAATATTTTGTCCTTCAATCAAAGTATCAAATTAACAAGGTTTCAATCTAAAATTTTGGTGCCCCACCTCATAAGATTACCTCACAGGTGACGGTTTGAGTGCAGAGAAGATGATGTGTCCCTTGACTTGCATAACCACGAGCCCAAGCAAGCTATACATCTTCTACGATCTCAGAGGACATGGTCGTAAATGCTGGTTTTGTTAGGGATGTTGTCCATTTGGGGTTTGAGATCAACTTTTCTTATATATATATTTCATAGCTCTTCGTCTTATATTGTTGTAAAGTTTTCAGGGCTTTGTATTTGTACATATGTTTACCAAGAGCCAAGAGGAAACTTGTTGTAGGCGTAATTATTGAAATGCACTTTCATTTGACATCTGATCAGACTTTCATTTCGCATCAGATCTGACTTCCATTTCGCATCTCACATTTTGATAGTCCCTCAACTACATTCATTGACTGTTAACTTTTACTCATTGATATTGATCATGACATGATATCAGTAATATAAATTGTTAACTACACTGAAGAAGTAGCAAAGATGAACAATCACAAAACCAGGAGATGAAGTTTTACAGAAAGAAAGATAAATGTGGGGGAAGAATTAGAGAGAGAGAAAGAGAGAGAGAGAGAGAGAGAGAGAGAGAGAGAGAGAGAGTTTACAGAGAGAAATGAGATTTGTATATTGACTTAAAAGAATGATGATTACACATTCTGTTTTTATAATAGAAAGCCTAACAACTCTAACCAAATACTAACAAACTTGTTAACTGTATTGTTGACTCGTACAACCATTTAACTAATTATCTAACTAATGATACGGAACCCTTAATGTAAATGTCATATTGACAACAAATAGATTGAGTATCCCATGCATGATCGAAAGTTTACGAGTCAGTGGATGGACTTGACGAATGTGAGACACATAAGTCGAAGCAGAAAAATGTGCGGCTACTCAAATAGAGGTAAATCAATACTTAAACTTGAGAAATGTGTTCGAGGGCATTTTGTAAATAAGTCTTTCTTATAATAACATGAGAACTTGAGTATGCATATAAAGCTTATGATACAGCAATAATTATGGTGCGTATTATATGTAAATACATATAATTTGATTACACATCATATGATGTGCAATGCCAAAGAAGTGTTTATTTTTGTCAACGATGCCAAAGATTCATCACTCATATTTTATATGTAAATACATCCAACAGCTAGCTCAAGCGTTGCTTACCGTCCTCCTTGACTGATGCATCTACTAACCTGCACTGCTTCAACGACGTGAACTTAATTTTCTCCAATATTTAATGCTTTAATAAAAACAATACCATTTTATATCACGTTCTTCTTTCATAATTATTAATTATTAGCCTAAGTCGCTGAATCATAATTTCATGTGGCTATTTTATAACGTGCTGTTGTGCCTTGGCCCGGCTAGTGTGGAAACAAGATTCAGGTTACCTCACCAAGATACAGACCCACAATTGAATAGAATAAAATACAAGAAATAAAAATATTGAGAAATTTAAGAGATTCGGCAAAAACCTGCCTACGTCTCCGAAGAGATATTACTCTTCACTACGAGTACAACAGTACAAGTTACACATGAGTTAAATCAACATAATTCAATCTCAAATCCCTTGTACACCCATTCACAGAATTTTTCCAAAAGCCTCACTCTACCCCCAAGAGTTCTTTCACTATATTACTTTTCACTCTAGCTCTCTTGATTTTCTCTCAACCCATGTTCAACCTTTCCCACGAGAGCCGGATGCTCCCGCTTGGATGCTTCTATGATGCTTATCTTCCCACTTTCTAAGCTTACTAAATGCGCAAATACTGCACCTAGTTATAGGCATACAGTAGCAACTATACCAACAACCAAGACCAAAAAGTCTTAAGTGCACATGACATAATCATCACCTAGCCTACCTAGCATGCACCAAAGTCTATACCTAGCCTATAGAGTACAACTTTTTCTCCATTTGCCATTTAATGCATAAAAGAGAAAACATGCACAATTGCATGCAAGCAAAAACAAAGTCACGGTTGCTGCCATTGTCGCATTCACGTGGTCAATGGTCTTCAATTGTTGTCAACACATGGCTCATAATTACTCATAAATGTACGAGCCAAAGTGAAAAATATATACATTAATTTTCCTTCTTTCAGTATTGTTGACCCGTAAACCTAATAACTCTAACCAAATACTAACAAACTTACTAACTGTATTATTGACTTGTACAACCATTTAACTAATTATCTAACTAATAATGCGGAACCCTTAATGTAAATGTCATATTGACAACAAATAGATTGAGTATCCCATGCATGATCGAAAGTTTACGGGTCAATGGATGGACTTGACGAATGTGAGACACATAAGTCGAAGCAGAAAAGTGATGCGGTTACTCAAATTGAGGTAAAGCGATACTTAAACTTGAGAAACGTGTTTGAGGGCATTTTGTAAATAAGTCTTTCTTATAATAACATGAGAACTTGAGTATGCATATAAAGCTTATGATACAACAATAATTATGGTGCGTATTATAACAGATAATTTGATTACACATCATATGATGTGCAATGCCAAAGAAGTGTTTATTTTTGTCAACGATGCCAAAGATTCATCACTCATATTTTATATGTAAATACATCCAACAACTAGCTCAAGGGTTGTTTACCGTCCTCCTTGACTGATGCATCTACTAACCTGCACCGCTTCAACGACAGGAACTTAATTTTCTCCAATATTTAATGCTTTAATAAAAACATTACCATTTTATATCACGTTCTTCTTTCAGAATTATTAATTATTAGCCTAAGTCGCTGAATCATAATTTCATGTCGCTATTTTATAACGTGCTGTTGTGCCTTGGCCCGGCTAGTGTGGAAACAAGATTCAGATTATCTCATCAAGATACAGACCTACAGTTGAATAAAATAAAATACAAGAAATAAAGACATTGAGAAATTTACGAGGTTCGGCAAAAACTTGCCTACGTCTCTAGAAAGATATTACTCTTCACTATGAGTATAATAGTACAAATTACACATAAGTTAAATCGACATAATTCAATCTCAAATCCCTTGTACATCCACTCACAGAATCGACCTAATTCGTGTTCTTTCACTAGATTACTTTTCACTCTAACTCTCTTGATTTTCTCTCAACGCATGTTCAACCTTTCCCATGGGAGAGCCGGATGCTCCCGCTTGGATGCTTCTATGATGCTTATCTTCCCACTTTCTAAGCTTACTAAATGCGCAAATACTGCACCTAGTTATAGGCATACAGTAGCAACTATCCCAACAACCAACACCAAAAAATCTTAAGTTCACATGACATAATCATCACCTAGCCTACCTAGCATGCACCAAAGTCTATACCTAGCCTATAGAGTACAACTTTTTCTCCATTTGCCATTTAATGCATAAAAGACAAAGCATGCACAATTGCATGCGAGCAAAAACAAAGTCACGGTTGCTGCCATTGTCGCATTCACATGGTCTTCAATTGTTGTCTACACATGGCTCATAATTACTCATAAATGTACGAGCCAAAGTGAAAAATATATACATTAATTTTCCTTCTTTCAGTTGAAGCTTCTCTCTCTCTCTGTCTCTCCTCTCTTCTCTTTCTCCGTCTGAATTCTGAAACACACAAACTAATGGAGATATCAGTGGCTACTATTGGTGCTGTTTTGGTGGGGATAACAGTAATAGTAATTGCAGGGGCCTGGAGGTTGCTGAACTGGTTGTGGCTGAGGCCCAAGAAACTGGAAAGATATCTGAGGCAGCAAGGCCTTACCGGAAACTCGTACAGGTTTTACACAGGAGACATGAAAGAAATCTCCACGATGATAAAACAAGCATATTCTAAACCAGTGAACCTCTCCCATGATATAGCCCCACGAGTTATCCCTTTCGACTGCCAATTAGTAAACACTTGCGGTATGTTAAGCATATATCTTTTCACATCTACATGTATACAATGTTTATTTACAAGAAATAAGAATTGAAAAGGTTCGGACTTTTCACTTTTGTGCGTTGTTAAAACACATATAGAATCGAGAAAAAGTGTGATCACTTTGAAATCTATACTCCAATACTAGTTGATCTCAATTTTATTCTTTTTTTCTTCTTGAAATTTATGATTTTTTCTCATTTGAAGTAAATATGTCAGTAATTTGTACCTTTCTATGAGAGATTTCTCTTACCAAACTATAACATAATTAGCTATGGTGCTAAATTATAAATGATATATATCTAGATTCGCAATTCAGATTCACATGCACAACGTAATTAAATGTGATAAGACATTTTCAATGACCCGATAAATTTTGTGGCACTTAACTCTTCACTTATTGAAGTTGATGGGAAGAGTCTAAGGTGTTAAAACTAGCTGTGCACTCAAATATCATTAGATAGATCTCCACAATTCATGCTCTTGACTTTTCCTTCTGTTTTTCTTTAATATCTTTGTAAATTTCGCACAAATGTGTCAACTCTACTCTGGCTATAGTATGACACATTGAACTTTTATGTTCTTTAAAAACAAAACTGCAGGTAAGAATTCTTTTGTTTGGATGGGCCCAACACCAAGGGTGAATATCACTGATCCAGAAGATCTGAAAACCATCCTTACAAAAATGGATGATTTTCCGAAGCCGAAAGAAAACCCACTTGTCAAGTTACTAGCAACAGGTATTCTACTATATGAAGGTGAGAAATGGGCAAAACACCGAAGAATTATCAACCCAGTGTTCCATTTAGAGAAGCTAAAGGTATTATGCATACAATCTTGCCAATATTCATTCAAATCTTCTGGAGATTTTACCATTGATTTAATTAGAGTAGTTTTTATATATAGGCGAACGTAAATCTCTTATCAACCCAACTCTGTTTAGATTGCATCACTCTTCTCTTCATATACCTAGTCCATGGTCTTTGTATCAGAGAAGTGGTCAACATTGTCGTGAGTAAATGTGTTTAGATTGCATCACTCTTCTCTTCATATACCTAGTTGTGTTTGTTTAAGATGTTCATGGACTCAGCCTTAGAGTCCATGGTCTTTCTTTTTGGGATGATGTTGGTCCTTCTTGGCTTATGTCTTCTAATTCCGATGATTATGTTCTATGTGAGTAATTTGTTGGCATGGGTGATTCGTTTTCCTCCTCCAGGGTTTTTCCCATCTGGTTTACCCAGGGATAGGTTTTTTTCCGAGCCACGTATCCTTTGTTTCATGCCTAGTTTGTGTAACCTGTTTGGTTTTTTATGAATGAAATTCTTCTATTACCTTAAAATAAGTTGTCTTTAGGATGTTTGAATGCGAATGGAACAAATTTTAGTAGGTTAATAACCATATCCATGTATGTTTTAAGTATGTACATATGGAAAATATATTGATTGAGCAAATTAGATGTGTATTAATTATGTTTGATATATAATTATTGATGATAATTTATGTTTTCCTCTTGTTTTCTATAGCGTATGTTGCCTGAATTTTACCAAAGTTGTAGCGAGATGATTGTGGAATGGGAGAGCTTGATGTTGAAAGAGGGTTCATGTGAGTTGGATGTCCGGCCCTACTTTGAAAATATGACAGCCGATGTGATTTCTCGAACAGCATTTGGAAGTAGCTACAAAGAAGGAAGAAAAATATTTCAACTTTTCAAGGAGCAAGTACAACTTACAATAAAAGTTATACGAAGTGTCTACATTCCAGGAGCGAGGTAAATTTTCTGTTTTCACATCTTTCAACCTCCAACACAACCCAATCTCAAAACTTATGAATACAAATGAGACGTAGTATTATAGTCGAACCCTTTGTTTTTTCTTCATATCAGCATTGGAATTAATAATGCTTTTTTGCAGGTTCCTACCGACCAAGATAAACATGAAGATGAAAGAAATTGACAGAGAGATAAGAGCGTTACTCATGGGTATTATAAACAAAAGAGAAGATGCGATTAGGGCTGGCGAAGCCACAAAAGATGACTTGTTAGGTGTGCTTATGGAGTCCAACTTGAGTGAAATCAAAGAACATGGCAACAACAAAAAGTTTGGAATGAGTATGCATGATGTGATCGAGGAGTGCAAGCTGTTTTACTTTTCAGGGCAGGAGACAACCTCAGTGTTGCTAGTTTGGACAATGGTTTTGCTAGGTCAATATCAGAACTGGCAAGATCGTGCAAGAGAAGAGGTTTTGCAGGTCTTTGGAAGCAACAAGCCAGAATTTGATGGGATAATTCGTCTAAAAGTTGTAAGTGTTTTCCATCAAGAAAAACTTTTGAGAGATTGCTTCTATTACGTGATTCGTTTTGAGTGAAGAACAATTCAGTTAAAAGATGACATGCTTTTAAAAGAATTGGAATAGGTGATCACTCCACTTTTAGCTAAATTGTCTTCCACTCAAAATGCTATATGACAGGAAATAGTCACACACAAGTTCAAGTTTGTATATATCAATCTATAATGTTTGGGTTTTTCTATAGCATACGCCGTGTATGGAATTGGAATGCACTGTTAAATGAGAAAAATTGGATTGAAAATGCAGCTATGCAAATCCAACTAAATCGTCCAATGCACTGAGCATCCCATGCACTGGTGCATTCTATTGTTTCCCCTATGCTGTTAATATAAATCTTAAAATTGGTTGTGTGTGTGTGTGTGTGTGTGTCTAATGCATGATTTCCCAGGTGACCATGATTTTGCATGAAGTTCTTCGATTATACCCAGCAGCTACTCTAATGATTCGGACCACAAGCAAGGAAACACAACTTTCAAAATATTCTTTACCAGCTGGAGTTGAAGTTGCCTTACCCACCCTCCTAGTTCACCATGACAAACAACTGTGGGGTGATGATGCACATGAGTTCAAGCCGGAGAGGTTTTCAGAAGGCGTTTCGAAGGCAACAAAGAACAAATTCATGTACTTCCCTTTTGGAGGCGGTCCACGGAATTGTATCGCGCAAAACTTTGCAATGGTGGAAGTAAAATTGGCCTTATCGCTGATTTTACAACACTTCACATTTGAGCTTTCTCCATCCTATGCTCATGCTCCTTCTTTAAATCTAACCCTTCAGCCACAGTTTGGTGCTCATATCATTTTACACAAATGTTGATGACTTATATGTCAGCAGTTCTCTCTGTATTGTTGAACATACAGTGCGTGGTAGCTAGGAGAAGGATGAAATATAATTTGTGCAACGTATGTATGATATGTATCTTTAAGATGAAATTTTCCCCAACTACTTCTAATAAGCAAAGGGGAACCGCATATATGTCTTGTGGATATAATGAAGCCCGCACTCAAAGAGGTAGACAAGGATCCTCAGGGTTTTCTACAAGGTATACTGCATAAATTAGTTTCTAGAGTTAATTTGTAATGCTATTAAAAATAAATGGAGGAAGAAGAAAATGTTATGAAGTATCTCTCTTTTAACTACAAAAGGTGGTTTCAGAGAAACCCTATTCACCATATATAGGTTTGTCCCTGGTCTCACAAAGTACGTTATATTCAACGCAAAAAGCTGTCCGTAGCTTAGACAGAGTAGAAGACTGTCTTCTTAAACCCTAGCATCCGTGTCTTCTTCAAATGCAGGTAACTTGTCTTCTTCGAATGCAGATGCAAACTGTACTGTGATCTTAGACCCATGTTTTCATTTTGTTAACTTCTTACATTCCAACATTAAATTCTTGCCAGATCTAGTTGTAAACATGAAAATCCTGCGACAAATGAGACAAGAACACGTGTACAAAATAAATTGTTTGTATTAATGAATTTGTAGGGTTACAATCTTTTTACAACTTGATCATCTGATTCGATCTCTAAAATGTGTAGATGTGTAGTGTTGTTGATCCAAGGGTCGCGATGACTTGATCTTGGATGAACAAATGTTGCAAGGTTTTGGCTCTTGGCAATGGAGGAACCGGCACATGTAGGGGTGCTTAGTGGTTCTTCACGGGATTTGACGAAAAACACAAAGGGTTTTCCGAGTCTTCTTGAGTGTTTGAGTGTTTGGGTGCTTAGCGCTATTGCAACTTACCTAATCAATAGGACGCCTACACCTATTCTTGGAATGAAATCACCATTTGAAGTTTTATTTCACTCTCCACCTAGATTAGATCATTTAAGGGTCTTTGGTTGTGCTTGTTATCCTTTTTTCAAACCTTATAGGACTAATGAGTTTGACCCTAAGACAACATAGTGCATCTTCTTGGGTTATGCTGCACAGTACAAAGGATACATTGCTTTGATGTTTCAAAACACGAATTGATAGTTTGTAGACATGTCTATCCAACAGTGTCTCACCTTTCTAGCAAACAGTCTTCTTCCTCTCAAACTTATATCTCACCACCATACATTGTTCATCCCAATTCTTTTCATCAGTACCCCATTGTATCCGTATACCATTACAAAATATTTTTCAATCAGCTGCTTCCTCACCCCAAGTTACTCAGTCTAGTTCTCTCCCACATGGTGATTTTGTCTCCTCTACTGCTACTGCATTAGCCATTGGAACTTCTGAGTCTTTTCATATATTAGAGTTGGAATTCAGATATCACAACATCTTAGGTTCAAGATTTACAACCTGTGGTCATTTCTTTTTAGAATTGTCACCCTATGCAGACCAGGTCCAAGTCTGGTATTTCTAAGAAGAAACAAGTTTTCAGTGTTGCAGTTCAGTCTACCACTAGCACAGAATAAAAAACCTTTACTGTAGTTTCCAAATATGTTGAGTGCAAACAAGCAATGCAAGAGGAAATAGATGCATTATTTCAACAACAAACTTGGTCTCTAGTTCCTCTACCTCCTGATAAGAACTTAGTGGGTTGCAAGTGGATCTATAAGATCAAGAAGCATCCAAATGGTTCCATTGCTAAGCACAAGGCGAGGTTGGTGGCCAAGGAATTTTCTTAGGAGGCAGGATTAGACTATTATGAAACCTTTAGCCCTATGGTTAAACCAACTACAGTGAGACTCATGTTATCTTTGGCAGCTACTAAAGGTTGGAAATTGAAGCAACTAGATGTAAAAAATGCATTTTTTACATGGATTTCTTAAGGAGGAAGTATACATGTCTTAACCTTAGGGATTTGTTGATGTTCATCACCCTAGTACGTTTGCAAATTACACAGATCTCTCTATGGTCTTAAACAAGCTCTATGAGCTTGGAATGACAGGTTTACCTCTTTTTTGTTTTCACTGGGTTTCACATCTACATGTATACAATGTTTTAGGCCTGGAAGTTTATATCTTAAGGCATACAGATATGTGGATTGGGCTGGTGATCCCAATGATAGAAGGTCTACAACTGGTTTTGTGGTGTTTCTTGGTTCCAATCTCATCTCTTGAAGTTCTAAGAAGCAACATACATTTAGTCATTCTTCAACTGAAGTAGAATATAGAGCCATGGCCAGTACTACTGTTGAGATTATTTGGATACAACAGTTGCTTAAAGACTTGCATATTCCTAGTTATGTTCCTCCTATATTACATTGTGACAATATCTCAGCTATGGCATTGACAACTAATCTAGTTCTTCACTCCAAAGCTAAGCATATTGAAGTGGATTGTCACTTTGTTAAAGAACGTTTCCAACAAGGTGTTATTTCACTTCAGTTTGTGTCTTCTACTGATCAGTATGCAGATATCGTTACCAAAGGTTTATGTTCTCCTTTTTTCAGCCATCATTGTTCCAATCTTATGTGATGCATGGGGCTCCCAACATAAGATTGAGGGGGAATGTTAGAATATAAAGGATATTTGTATTGTGTTGTTTGAGTTATGTAGAGGATGCCACTTGTGTTGTTATTAGTGGCTGCTGAGGTTTGTCTCAAGGTTGTTATGAGCTGTATGAGTACAAATAATTAGAATACCTTATAATAGTTAACTTAATAGAAATAGAAAGATTCAGTTGCAATATTCTCTTTCTCTCTCTAAACCTCTTCGATACATCTCTATGTATTTCCATAGCTTAATTTCTTCATTTCTAGCAATGTTGACACTCTGGTGTGCAGGTAAGAGAAAGAGAGATAGCGTGGTGTGAAAGGGTAATGCTAGAGACGCTAAATTAGTAGATAAAATTTTATAAACTAAATAATATGGAAATTGATAAGTAGATTATAACTTAGGCATTGATAAATGTGTTCATTCCTATTGTGAACACATAATTTAGTATACAAATTTTATCTATAAATTTATATTCCCTAGCATTGCCCAACGAGGAAATACATGACTTGTTGATTGCAAAAGGAAAAATGAAGGGAGACGGAGTGGGGAAAAGGAGCAAGAAAACTGGACCATTAAATACGTGGCACATTCAGAACCTTTAGATTATTTTGAAGGGTTTGGATTTAAAAGTTACGCATATTTTCGCAGGGTGAAAAACATTTGCAAAGAGGACTCCTTATCTTTTCAATACTGCCCCTTGTTTCGTCAATTGCCAGCAGAACGGCGTCGGACTGATCTTTTAACCTATCTCTCTGGCATCCCCGACGTCCCTCCATCATTCTTCTCTTGATATGAAATAAACAAGGTGGAATGAGTTTGGATCATCTCCCATTTATTAAGAAGAACCAAGGACGTACGACGTGGATTTGCATTTTTCTTTTCATCTTTCTAATATCTTCGGGTCATAGTGGGAACGATTGATGAAGATACGACAGGAGGAGCCTAGAGATGACAAAATCTTTAGCATTTCATTTGATTTATATCTAATGTCTTCAAATTTTCCTTTGAGCTTCAACTTGTGAATTACAAATTCACAATTAGTCTGGTCCTGCTACAAATAAAGAGCTTTTTTCAGAGAAAAATATATAGTATTGATACTATTCAAGCTCAGATCAGGTGTGAAATGTACACTACTCTTGATCCACGAGTTATGTGTGTTCCGCCTCATAAGATGGCCTAACAGGTGATCATTTGAATGCAGTGAGGGTGATGTGTCTCTTGACTTGCAGAACCACGAGCCCAAGGAAGCTATACGTCTTCTAAGATCTCAGTTAACCTATCTTTCTAGCATCCCAGGTAGGTCATCATGACCCTCCATCATTTTTTCTTGAAATGAAATTAACAGTATGGAATGACTTTGGATCTCCCATTTATTAAGAAGAATCAAGGACAACATGAGTTTGCATTTTTTTCAGCTTTCAAGTATCTCTGGGTCATAGTGGGATCGAATGATGAAGATACAACAGGAGGGGCCCGGAGACGACTGGTATGACTTTATCATCAAGCTCATGTTGCAAAATTTTCAGCATTTCATTTGATTTATACGTAGTGTGTTCAAATTTTCATTTGAGCTTCAACTTCAAACTTACAAATGCACAATTTAGTCTGGTTCTGCTGTTAATGAAAGTTAGTATCAGAAAATCTTATCACGTGGTGAAATCGCTGTTGTAATTTTCAAGTAGGTTTTCCATTTCATCCTTGTACATACACAAATACAATTGATTGAAATTGGTCACAATAATATAACTGTTTTTTCTTTAGTTGGTATGGAAAAGAGCACATATATCATAAAACAGATCGCTTAAGACGTTGTGCTTCTTTTTTCTTCATGCACTATGACTCCATATGCTTTATGAAAACTTAAATTTCACATATCTTTTGTAAATTTTGTTTTGCAGATTGTGAAGCAACTGGAGAAGGAATCGATCAAATGGACCGAGGAGGAGAACGGGAGGACAATATCGATCCGAGTGGATGAAATTGACCCGAAAAGCTTGAGCTTCTCAAAAAAATGAGTGAAAGAAACAAGAGCCCAATTTGAGCAGAGCAGAAGTGGAACTTAAAGAAGAGGCCATGCCATGGTAAATGCTGGTTTTGTTAGGGATGCTGTCCATTTGGGGTTTGAGATGAACCTTTCTTTTGTGGGAAATTTATGTTACAAGATTTTAGAGAGATGAAATTCAAGCAACACATCCGCTATTTACGTATAGAAAAAGAAGGGTGTTTTAATTTGAACCTAAAAAATTCTTGAGTAATTTTTTTCAACAATCTAAACTGTCTAAAATTTAGTACATCTTTCATAGATTATCATTGCGAAAAAAAAAAAATAGAAAAATCCAAAACCGTTCATGTTGAGAATAAATTTCACATTTATGGGAGGAGGGATCTTACATAGACTTACAAGAAGTTAGGCTACTCTTTGTATTGTCAATTGGTTATGATGAAACCCCAACTTTTTTTATGGTATCAAAGCAGGTTATTTCATGTGTGAAGTCTAATGGTCACACATGCTCCATGTCACCCAATTTGGGTTGCCTATGCGTAGACTTGAAATTCTTTACTTGTGAGAGGATGTGTTGAGAATTAGTTCCACACTAATGGAATGAAGGATGGTACTAAATACAGAACTATAGATGTGAATCATGTGATTCGTAAACAACATTACATTTTCAAATTAAACAAGTATGATAAATCGTTTGTTTCTTTTAACCCAGGAAGGAGGGAAAGAACAATCGAACTAGCATATCAAGCATAAAGTGTCATATCCTAGTTCGATTATCTTTCCCAATTTTTAATGTAAAAATGTTCCCAATTTTTTTTTATGTAAAATGTTCTTCTTTTTTTAAAGTAAAATTTATTCACCTGCTTTATCTATAATGTACTCATATTTAAAAATAAAAATAAAACATGTTGTTTAAACTCAACTTTGAGGGGTGCTTCAGTTTGGAAAGCTTTGTGGAAGGCTAATATCCCAGGCAAAATTCTTTTGTGCGTTTGGAGGGCGTGCAGAGACATTTTGCCCACTTGTGCTAATTTGGTAACCAAGGGTGTTAGTTATGGTGGATAATCTATGTTTATTTTGTAGTTCCTCTTTGGAGTCGGCGCTAGATGTTTTCACTGTTTGTCCATTTGCTCGTGCGGTGTATGATGCCTCTCATCTAAATTTCAGATTCAGTCTTCCGCCGTCTGCTTCTTTCTGTGACTGGTTATCACTTTGTGTGGATCAGGTTTCTACAAATCAGTTTGCTTTGCTACTTATGTGTATTCATGGTATTTGGCGTGCTAGAAACGCCTTACTTTGGAAGAATAAAGTAATGAACCCGTCCTTAGTCTCCCATCTTTCTAATTTGCAGATGTCTGAGGTTATTAAGGCTAGGCCTGGTCCTGTTTCCCGTCCCCTGGAGGCAATGTCACGCTGGAGTCCCCCTCCGGCTGGATGGATAAAAATAAATGTTGATGGTTCTTTCCTTTCTGGGGTCAATGTGGGCGGTGTTGGAGGTGTATTTCGTGACAAAGCTGGTAGCTATGCTGGAGGTTTGTTCGCCAAATACCCTCTGCATCGTGCTCCACCATGGTTGAGTTTCTGGCAGTCCGTGAGGGAATTCGCTGGGCTGTGGAAAGGAAGCTGGAGCGTATCATTGTAGAATGTGACTCGTTGCAGGTGGTTCAAGCTGTTGGTAACAATTTCCAGGGGTCTGCTCCTATGGACCTTCTGGCGGAGAATAGTTTGCGAGCCTTTGTGGATTCACAAGTTTGCTTTGTGCGCCGCTCTACGAATGCTGCGGCACATGGTATGGTCAAGTTGGCTAATTCTTTACTTATTGAGTTTTGTTGGTTTGAGAAGCCTCCGGATCCAATTGTGGAGGCCCTCATGGTTGTTGATTAAATTCCTTTGATTCAATAAAAGCTATCGTTTCTCTTCAAAAACAAAAAATAATAATAATAAATAAATATATATATATATATATATATATAAAATTTCAACATTAAATTTAATACTGAAATTAATATTTTGTCCTTCAATCAAAGTATCAAATTAACAAGGTTTCAATCTAAAATTTTGGTGCCCCACCTCATAAGATTGCTTCACAGGTGATGGTTTGAGTGCAGAGAAGACGATGTGTCTCTTGACTTGCATAACCACGAGCCCAAGCAAGCTATACGTCTTCTACGATCTCAGTTAACCTAATCTCTTTGGCATCCCCGACGTCCCTCCATCATTCTTCTCATGGTATGAAATAAACAAGGTGGCATTACTTTGGATCATCTCCCATTTATTAATAAGAAGAACCAGGGACGTACGACGTCGATTTGCATTTTTCTTTTCATCTTTCTAGTATCTTCGGATCATAGTGGGAACGATTGATGAAGATACGACAGGAGGAGCCCAGAGACGACAAAATCTTCAGCATTTCATTTTGATTTATATCTAATGTCTTCAAATTTTCCTTTGAGCTTCAACTTGTGAATTACAAATTGACAATTAGTCTGGTCATGCCACAAATAAAGAGTTATTTTCAGAGAAAAATACATAGTATTGATATTAAAAGCCAATTTTCTAACCATGATCGTATTTTTGAAGTAGGTTTACATACATATACAACTAATCGAAATGTGTTAGATCTAAGCACAATTTAAGTTTATATCTGTTCACACCACAAAACAGATTGCTTAACACTTATGTTTGCTTCTTTTTTTCATGCATTATATATGACTCCACCATATGCTTTACGAGAACTTAAATTATACCTGTTTTTATAAAAAAAATTCCACAGATTATGAAGCAACTGGGAGAAGGAATCAATCAAATGGACCGAGGAGGAGGATGGGCGGACAATATTGATCCAAGTGGATGGAATTGACCCGAATAATTTGAGCTTCTCCAAAAAAAATGATTGAAAGAAACAAGACTGGATGAACTTAAATTAGAGAAGAGGACATGATATAATATAAATTGTTAACTACACTGAAGAAGTAGCAGAGATGAACAATGACAAAACCAGGAGATGAAGTTTTACAAAAAGAAAGAGAAATGTGGGAGAAGAATTAGAGAGAGAGAATTTACAATGAGAAATAAGATATGTATATTAACTTAAAAAGAATGATGATTACATACTTTGTTTTTATAATAGAAATTCTAACAACTTTAACCAAATACTAACAAACTTGCTAACTACATTGTCGACTTGTACAACCATTTAACTAATTATCTAACTAATGATGCAGAACCCTTAATCGAGTATCCCATGCATGATCGAAAGTTTACGAGTCAATGGATGAACTTGACGAATGTGAGACACATAAGTTGAAGGAGAAAAGTGATGCGGTTACACAAATAGAGGTAAAGCGATACTTAAACTTGAGAAACGTGTTCGAGGGCATTTTGTAAATAAGTCTTTCTTATAATAACATGAGAACTTGAGTATGCATATAAAGCTTATGATACAGCAATAATTATGGTGCGTATTATAACATAAGTAATTTGATTACACATCATATGATGTGCGATGCCAAAGAAGTGTTTATTTTTGTCAATGATGCCAAAGAATCCTCACTCATATTTTATATGTAAATACATCCAGCAGCTAGCTCAGGCGTTGCATACCGTCCTCCTTGATTGATGCATCTACTAACCTGCACTTAGGCTTGGCAAACGGGTCGTGTCTGTCGTGTTCGTGTCGTTTTCGTGTAACACCTGTTATCTTAACGGGTTGTGTCGTGTCATACCTGTATCTTAACGGGTCCTTAACAGGTCGGGTCACTTTACCCGACCCGACCTGTTAAGAAAAATGTATTTTTTTGCTTAAACTTGCACATACCACACATTGCCACATAAATATTACTTCAAAACATTAAAGCACATTTGTCGTTTAAGTAGTACATCTACACTTGAAAATAAGAGTCTAATAAACAAATATCCATACACTACTAGTCTATTACAAAATATTAAATGTTCAAGGATATGCAAAATGAAAGAGTTTTTGTTTTCAAGGTTGTGAAGTTTTTCTCAATAGTTTAAACCTTACCAATGGAACTCAAAGCTTGAATGTAATTCCTTTTACAAAATCCTCAATTTTCATCAATCATCATGACATAAGATTTTGTGGTATCCACTTGTGTAAATATTTTAAATTGAAGATCGAATTTATTCATTGTATTCATATGAGGTCAAGGAGTGTATAAAAAATCAACAAAAACAGAGTTAAAATAACCGTTAAATCGTGATTTTTCGTTGATAACCGTTGAAAAGTTTTGTCTCGTTACTTGATCTTTGAATGTTTGTTTTTTGCGATTTTTGGCGTATGCGATCTTGAAGCATATACAAACAAGTTTGACGGTTGGATCATTGAAATTATTTTCATAGAATGCGTATCCCATCATAACGATAAATTCACTAACACCTAGAGTTTATTTATACTTTCATAAAGTATAACATAAGATTTTGTGGTATCCACTAGGGTAAATATTTTAAATTGAAGATCAAATTCATTCATTGTATTCAAATAAGGTTAAGGAGTGTAGTTGTAAAAAAATCATCCAAATCGGAGTTAAAATACCCGTTAAATCGTGATTTTTCGTTGATAACCGTCGAAACGTTTTGTCCCATTACTTAATCTCTAAATGTTTGTTTTTAGCAATTTTTGGCGTATGCGATCTCGAATTATAAACAAACATATTGGACGGTTGGATCGTTGAAACTAGTTTCGTAGAATGTGTATCCCATCAAAACAATAGATTCACTAACACTTAAGAGTTTATTCATATTTTCATTAAGTATAGCATAAGATTTTGTGGTATCCACTAGTGTAAATATTTTAAATTGAAGATCGAATTCATTCATTGTATTCAAATAAGATTAAGGAGTGTAGCTGTAAAAAATCATCCAAATCGGAGTCAAAAGAACCGTTAAATCGTGATTTTTCTTTGATAACCGTCGAAACGTTTTGTCCTGTTACTTGATATTTGAATGTTTATCTTTTGCAATTTTTGGCGTATACGATCTCGAAGTATATTTAAACAAGTTTGACGGCTGGATCGTTGAAACTAGTTTCGTAGAATGCGTATCCCATCAAAATGATAGATTCATTAGCACTTAAGAGTTTATTCATACTTTCTTTAAGTATAACATAAGATTTTGTGGTATCCACTAGTAAATATTTTAAATTGAAGATCGAGTTCATTCATTGTATTCATATAGGGTCAAGGAGTGTAGCTATGAAAAATCATCAAAATCGGAGTTAAAATAACCGTTAAATCGTGATTTTTCGTTGATAACCATTGAAAAGTTTTGTCCTGTTACTTGATATCTGAATGTTTATTTTTTGCAATTTTTGGCGTATACGATCTTGAAGTATATTCAAACAAGTTTGACGGTTGGATCGTTGAAACTAGTGTCGTAGAATGCGTATCCCATCAAAATAATAGATTCACTAACCTTAAGAGTTTATTCATACTTTCAATAAGTATAACATAAGATTTTGTGGTATCCACTAGTGTAAATATTTTAAATTGAAGATCGAGTTCATTCATTGTATTCATATAGGGTCAATGAGTGTAGCTATAAAAAAATCATCAAAATCGGTGTTAAAATAACCGTTAAATTGTGATTTTTCGTTGATAACCGTTGAAAAGTTTTGTCCTATTACTTGATATCTGAATGTTTATTTTTTGCAATTTTTGGCGTATACGATTTCGAAGTATATTCAAACAAGTTTGACAGTTGGATCATTGAAACTAGTTTCGTAGAATGCGTATCCCATTAAAATAATAGATTCACTAACACTTAAGAGTTTATTCACACTTTCATTAAGTATAACATAAGATTTTATGGTATCCACTAGTGTAAATATTTTAATTGAAGATTGAGTTCATTCATTGTATTCATATAGGGTCAAGGAGTGTAGCTATAAAAAATCATCAAAATCTAAGTTAAAATAACCGTTAAATCGTGATTTTTTGTTGATAACCGTCGAAAAGTTTTGTCCCGTTACTTCGTCTCTAAATGTTTGTTTTCTGCAATTTTTGGCATATGTGATCTCGAAGCATATACAAACATGTTTGACGGTTGGATCGTTGAAACTAGTTTCGTAGAATGCATATCCCATTAAAACAATAGATTCACTAATATTTAAGAGTTTATTCATACTTTCATTAAGTATAGTATAAAATTTTGTGGTATCTACTAGTGTAAATATTTTAAATTGAAGATCAAGTTCATTCATTGTATTCATATAGGGTCAAGGAGTGTATCTATAAAAAATCATCAAAATCGGTGTTAAAATAACCGTTAAATTGTGATTTTTCGTTGATAACCATCGAAAAGTTTTGTCCCGTTACTTGATATCTAAATGTTTATTTTTTGTAATTTTTGGTGTATACGATCTTGAAGTATATTCAAACAAGTTTGACAGTTGGATCGTTGAAACTAGTTTCGTAAAATGCGTATCCTATCAAAATAATAGATTCACTAACACTTAAGAGTTTATTCATACTTTTATTAAGTATAACATAAGATTTTGTGGTATCCACTAGTGTAAATATTTTAAATTAAAGATCGAGTTCATTCATTATATTCATATAGGGTCAAGGAGTGTAGCTGTAAAAAATCATCAAGATCAGAGTTAAAATAACCGTTAAATAGTGATTTTTTGTTGATAGCTGTCGAAATGTTTTGTCCAGTTACTTGATCTCTGAATGTTTGTTTTTTGCGATTTTTTGCTGATGAGATCTCAATGCATATACAAACAAGTTTGACGGTTGGATCGTTTAAATTAGTTTTGTAGAATTTGTATCCCATCAAGTTCAATGGTGTCTATATATATATATATATATATATATATATATATTTATTAAGTAGATTTAAATTTATTTATTTTGTATGTATAACACTTAAGAAATTGAATGGTATGTATATTTAAGCCGATCCAGTGGTCACCAATTTTTAATATTTAATTTAATATATATATATATATATATATATATATATAGTTATTGTGGTTTTTAGGGGTATAAAATTGTTAAATTAAAATATATAATTATTATAATATTTTTTTAGGGTTATAAAATTATAAAAAGTAATATTTTGCTTATCGTGTATTGTGTTACCCACGTGTATACCCGAACTAACCCGTTATCTTAATAGGTTCTTATCGGGTTACTTGATAACGACCCGATTCGTTATCGTGTCAACCCGAACACCTATTAATTTCGTGTCGTGTCGTGTCGGGTTATCGGGTCGTGTCAAGAATTGCCAGGCCTACCTGCACTGCTTCAAATCAACTTAATTTTCTCCAATATTTAATGCTTGAGTTAAACTCTGTTTACTACCCTGAAGTTTTGTGGTTTTTAACATTTAGTACATCAAGTTTTTTTCGTTCCAGAGTCATACCTAAAGTGTAAATTTTGGGACAATCTCATACATACGTTAGTTAAACTGTTAAGTCTCCCGTTAACTGTGACGTGGCGCCCA